GCCTTCTCCAAATCCAGGGTATCCAGTTCTCCCAATAGCTTCCAGAAAGGGCCCACATTGTCCCTATTCTGTCTTTTATTTGCAATGTACCTACAGAATCCCTTCCTGTTATCTTTCACATCCATAGGCCAGTTTAATTCTAAGTTAGAATCATAGAATAGTTAGGATTGGAAGACCTTAAGATCATCAAGTTCCAACCCCCCTGCCATGGGCAGGGACACCTTGCTCTAAACCATATTACCCAAGGCCTCGTCCAACCTAGCCTTGAACACTGCCAGGGATAAAGCATTCACAAGCTCCCTGGACAACCTATTCCAGTGCCTCACCACCCTAACAGGAAAGAATTTCCTCCTTATATTCACTCTAAACTTCCCCTGTTTAAGTTTTAACCCATTACCCCTTGTCCTGTCACTACAGTCCCTAATGAAGAGTCCATCTCCAGCATCCCTATATGCCCCCTTCAGATACTGGAAGGCTGCTATGAGGTCTCCACGCAGCCTTCTCTTCTCCAGGCTGAACAGCCCCAACTTTCTCAGCCTATCTTCATACAGGAGGTGCTCCAGTCCCCTGATCATTCTTGTGGCCCTCCTCTGGACTTGTTCCAACGTTATAAGCAAGTTATATTGCCATAATTTCTTCAGGGATGTTATATACCTTTGTATGTGAGACACCAATTGTAATGACTGCATTGAGATATAAAAGCAATATTGAAGCCCCCCAAACAAACCAAATTTTAAATTTCACCTGAAAAAAATACTGCAGAAAACCCTTTATATTTATTGGCAAGAAGAAGAGCCCAACCCTGGATATTTTAGAATAATTTCCACCTTCATCAACATAAAATATAAAGTATAAGAAGAGATTAAGGGTACAACATTTTTTACTTTTTGAGGGATATTTACTTTCTACTGCATAAAAAGGAAGACTAAAACCTACAAAAGAAAAAAAAAAAGAAAAGTTAAAATTATCCTTGAATCATATGCTTCAAAGTCTTCAAGTTTTCTTAACTTAAAACTAATTTGCTCCAGAAAGTCAACAGGGGGAGTTGTTAGCAGTTTTTTAATGGGGTTTCATATCATTTGGGGAGTGAGGAGTGGGATGGGGACACCAATAAAGAACCCCCTACAAATCTTTGGAAGCTTTTCAAACAGAATGCTTTGCTTAAAACAGATCAAACCAATGTTCAGTCTTAGAACAAAAGAATTCAGATCGGCTTTTAGGAAATCATATTAAAAATATATATAATCTGAAAAACATTAGCTTGAAACCAATATTAATTAATTTAACCGTGTACTTGCTGATATTTCTGTGAGGTTTGTACCTTTTAACAGGGACACCAGGTAATTTGCAAACTTTGTCAATTAGGAGGATATAAGTAACCAGGATTTTGTTACTACTTGATCGGAAATCTCTTAAGAGATGGGGACAGAGAAAGGCAGGAGAACTAAATTCTGTTACTTATTTATTTTATTTTTTTTAATGAAAAATTCAACAAATATCTGCTCAGGTGCTTAAATACCAGTGTTTCTTAAAATTTCTGATATTTTGCTTAACTGAAATAAGGGGCTGAAGGATATAACACAAGATTATGTGAGGTCTTAAACTTGTACCTGTAGCCATTCAGGGCACCCCATTCTTTAAGAAGATGGATTACAGTTTGACAATATGCTGATGCATTTCAACCAAAATAAGACTGCTTTGTAAATGTTAACTAGCTTTGCACATTCTTTCCACTCCTGTTTCTGGATGTGTTTTACAACAATCAGATATGATTCTCAGGGTAAACCATCTTTTCACTCTGGCTCACTCAAAATTGTGAAATTATGTGTATGAAAATGCAGATTTACTGTATTTCACTAGACTTACTTAGGTCTTAACTGAATTATCAGATAATTGAATGTGTTGTCTTGCTAATGGTCTGTGCAAAAGACAGATACACTTGAAACAAGAGAATACACTTCAGAAATAGTAATAGTGATTGTAAATAGTGACAAAACAGTCCTGAAACCTAGGAAGATATATAAAGGGAAGAAACAATGCCATAGTACATCCTCATGTTAGAGATACCCAGGTTTTGTCTGAAAGTATTCATCGTTGTTTTGCAAAACCTGTTGTTATCCAGGCTGCTAGGCCCTTCTTTTTCTAAGCACATTTTTTCCAGTAGTTACCTGTTAAGATTTCAAAGAACAGATAACATCAAACAGTCGTGAATTACTTTTTTTCCAAAATGTCCCCAAAAGACGTTATTCATATCCACTGTCTAGAAATAAGATACTTACACAAACATATTCCGCAATACAAAACAGGTAAGAAGGAAGAAAAATATAACACAAGCAAAAAGGTTCCTTTTTTACACCATGTTGTTTGTAATATCTGTACTTTCTAGAGGCTCACCCAGGAAGAAGAATAAACTACAACCTCCAACAGTTGTTAAATAGTCACAAGGGAAAACTAAGAGCACTGCAGAAGAAGGTCAAAACTCATCTTTTGATTTTATGATTTGTCCAGCATAAAGCAGAATGGAGAAGAACAGAACCTAAGAAGATACCAAGGAAGGAGTACATATATATAAAAATATATATAAGTTGATGCTTAAACTTTTCTTTTTTCTTTTTTTTTTTTAGAAGATTGTTAACATAGGAAAGAGAATAGCAAACTAAAAGTGGAACAGGAATACCACTGGAACCAGGAAAGGCAAAAGACTATGCTTTAAAGATCATGGATTTAGCACCATTTAACAAAAAATTTGTGTTTCAGTTTTCTTCATTTACAGAATAGTTTCATCTGTTTATGCTATACCAAATTTTGTAATACAGTTATTTACACAAATAGCCAAAAAATATTTCAGAAGGCAGCAGAAAGTTCCAGATGAAAATGTCCTAATATGTAATGCGCACACTCTATCAAAGGAAGAGGGCACAGCTATTACTGCACAGCATGGTAGAGTAAAAAGAAAAATAAAAAGGTGAAAATAGAACATAAAGTTATTAATCTTAATTTATTTACTATTATTTAATATTACCTGCCCATTTAAATCTTTTTTTAAATGTGTTTTGTTTGGTTGGGTTATTTTATCTTACTTTGTAGAAAGGATAATCAAAGATATTTTTATGTTACTACTGGTTACTCCCCAATGCCAAATACCATAAACAATTACACTTAATTAGCTAGTGTTTTTTAAGCAACCCAACATTTAAAAGCAAACTTATAATTGGACCCAAAGGAGGAAAGATGGAATCTGGTTTAGAAAAGTTAGGTTTTCATATAAACAACCTATAACAAGAAATGCCCATATTACCATCTCAGACTGTTACACACTTAAGTGATTGCACAAAATGCTGAAATATCCATGGGTGTCCAGAAAGATGTTAGGAGGGCTCCATATATTTAAACAAGAAGCTTGGTAGGTTGGGAAAAACATAGCTTGTGTGCATACTTGCTTTAAAAATTAGCTTTCTGATGTTAGGAGTCTCTAGGGAGAGTTTAATGAAAGCCTCTTTGCCTCAGCCTTTCTGAGATCCATAGGAAACAAAGTACTTTAACAGAGTTCATTGGAAATGGGACAGAATCAATCTCTCTTCTTTTTCCTTTAGCCTTTCTAAGGCTCTAGAGGAAAGGAACTTTCAGGTGTTGCATACAGGAGCAACATATACTGATGCAATTTATTATTAATGCCTTGAAAATATTATATTCCATAAGTAGAGGAAGTTACACTAGAAAATGCTCTTATCTCAGACTTAATGATTTTATCCCTTATGGGATTCCAAAACCTTCTGCCCCTATCTTTATTACTTACTATTATCTTGCTGCTTTCATTCAGCATTATATTAAAAATACGACAAGTGTCTATCACTTGGGACTAAATATGCAGTTCAGCATGTCCACTGCACTTTCAAGTACATCATACACAAGCTCATGTATCACTATTCTTGGTAACATGACAGCATGACAGCAGCCCAGCAAGTGGACTGGACAAGAAGCTACAGGCAAGATTTTTTCTATTTATTTTCTTTATACGGCTCAATCCGTGCACAGCCCTATGTCTGTCTTTGGGGTTCATGTCTCAGAGCTTGTAATCAGGTAGGGTGCCAACTCAGGAATGAAGCTAGGCCAGGACTTCAGCTTAAACCTGTCAGTGCTTTTTCCACATCTGCAGCAACTCCCGCGCTTGGAACAGTTCAAAAATGTCTGGCTGCTTCTGCAATTTAGAGATCTTTCATTTTTAGGTCAGCCTGCCTCACAAGCTCCAGTCATGTATCAAGCATTTCAGATTAGGAGCCAGATGTTGTAACTCCTATTTAAACACAAAAGTTTAAAAGGCAAGAAATTCTTTTTTACAGATTTTTTTTTAACCCCCTGTTGTGATATATAATCTTTATGCTTTACTAAGGAGCTCCTGAAGTTTGGCATTGCAGATGCAACAACAGGCTCCTGTTACATATCCAACATCAGAGATTTTCTGAATTAAATATCCTAATTCTCCATGCAAAAGGATGGAACATCATAGCAAACAAGAAAATATCTAAGTCCACAATTAATTTGTAGTATCTTAACGGGAGTTCTGCCTATACCCATGTTTGGAAAATATGGAAAATAAATTGAAAACATGGAAAATAAATACTTTAACAAATTTAAAATCAGAAGTATGATTTTGCTTTTCATTATTCACTGTTTCAGAAAAACAACATTCTCTGGACAGTCAGCATCAACTTGTGGCAATGTTACATGCAGCACAATGGATTTTTGCTTTTTCTGTTTAAAGGTTGGGGTTTGCTTTTTGCTTGGGGGGGTTGCTGACAAAGCACTCGGCAGTACATACAACATATCTACAGTAAGTAGATCAGGCAATTTTACCTGCAAACATGCTGCAATAAAGTGGCATCATTCAATCAATATAGATTAGTTAGTTAACATTTTTCTTAATGTATCTGAATTACTAGTTCATTAGATCATTAGCTGATAAATAGTGTGGGTAATGGATTGAGAGAGTAACTACATACCTTCAGGAAGAACCTGCCCGACAACAATAATCCATTAGAAAAACTGGCAGTATCCTCTGATCTATCGCCCGCACAGCTATGACTTGATGGAGAGTTTCATTCCCTCTGCTCAGCACTCCAGAAGAAAATCAGCACAATTTAAATATTTCTCAGGAGGTGACAGCTCTCTAGATCCCTGCTTGCATTCTGTTCCCAGGGGTTGACAATCTGGTGTTCCAGTGTGCATAGAGCAGTGAAGATGAATTGAAAAAGCTTGAGATAAATTAGGGATGGCTAGGTTAAAATTGTCTCTGCTCCCGAGTCTCTCATCTGCAGTCTGCAAGCCTATTTTGCTGTGAAAAAGCTAGATGGCAGGCTGCCTCAGTGAGTTCTTCTTAAGCGACAGGGAGCATTTTCAATGAAGAAAAATTCTCCCATTATCTAAGCTAATGTGACTGCAGCTAAATCTAGTCTTGAAAGTGTCTACTAGAATGAAATTAATTCTCATAGTTGCTTTTTTTTTAAGCCATGTTGAAAAGAAAAGAAAAAAGAAAAGAAAAGAAAAGAAAAGAAAAGAAAAGAAAAGAAAAGGACGTAAATCACAGCACCACCCTCAATTTTTCTATCTGAAAGAAATACTGAAACTTTTTAAGCTGATAAATGGCAGCACATTTCATGAAATAGCTGTGCCCCACGATCTAAACAGGGGAAATTTTCACTACTTTCTGAACTTTATCTGCTCATACTTGTATTATTCTTCCAGTATCTGCTCTTTCTGTTTTCATGTAATGGTTAGTGTTTCTTTGCAATTATCTTCATTTTGAATGTTCCAGGAGAGAAAGTGGCAGTATTTGCCACTTCTTTACAAAAAGGACTGACAGCTAAAACTCTGAACAATCAACATGTTAAATGTAATTGATGTTTTGAGATGACACTAAAAGGATTCATTAAAAAAATTAAAATTCAACTTTGTAACATGTTGTTGATCTTTAATTATGAACCACATCTCTGACTGCACTAGTTTACAAAGAAGATGGAACTGAAGTTTTCTATATATCAGTTTAGTATCAAAGCTGTTTGACAAAGTCACTAAATTCAAGCTGTTATTTAAAAAATTGTTATTTAGATAGCTCAAGGTCAGGAGGTTATCATTACACATAGTAAACGAAAATTAATATTTTATTCTCTCAAACTTTGGATATAATTTTAGAAAAGGAAAAAAAGAAATAATTTGAAAGATCCAGTGTCAGTCATGCTCCTTACTAAGGAGGCATTTTTGAAAATCTTTTCTTTAGTTTCAACTGATCTAGCTTTCTGAAATCCTTGGTATCTACTGCCATGACTTTCCCAAATTCAAATTCTCAGTATCACAGAAAATCAGGCCTCCATTCTAAACCGTGAACAGAGATGCAGATGGATGCATGCCAATATAGCCTTAGTTCTAGAGCATTCTGAGAATGGTAATTATACCACCAAGAAATAGATGTACACCATGCTTCCACCAAACAGGCATGAAGAGTCTCTGAAAATCTTTGGGACATGACTTCCGAGGTCTGTTTTGTTCCCCACCTCCCTGAGGTAAAAGATGCACACACATTAACAGAACTCTAACAGATGAAGTGAAAAGGCATGATCAACATTAACTGATTTCTTTGGGGGTTATGTCAAGTAAGACAGCGGCCCCACAGAGCCTTCGTGTTCCATGCTGAAGGCATTACATTCAGCCTGAATCTTTTAAACTGATGATCATTTGGCCACTGTCCCAGCAACATGCCCCTTGGAGCATATACAAACGCTTGACAAGACCCAATTGTTCAGTAAATGCAATATGCATAAAGGTAGCTCAAAATAGCATGTAATTCTAGAGGGATTAAAAGTTTCTTATGCTGCCTTGCTCTAGGATTATTTCTGGTGTTGTGACACATTTCTTAATTCTAGGTGTGACGGTATGTGCCCCAGTCATAGCCATTAATATTTCAACATTTTCCATGTAAACAGATCATGCTGTAACAATTAAAACCAAATAAACCAAACAATCAAAAAGATTTCAACAAATTCTGAACTTGGAGAGAATTTTTGATGCAATTTTGCAAATCAGAGAGACAACATGTGTGAGTTGACGTGGTTTAAACTCATCTAGTAACTCAGAACCATGCAGCTGCTCACTCACTCCTTCCTTCCTCCTTCGGGATGGAGGAGGAATGTAAAGAATGTAAACCTCATAGCTCACATCCCTCCTCCTCCACTTTCTCCCTTCCCTGGGAGGGAGTGGGGAGGAGAACCGAAAGACTACAAACCCCGTGTGTTGAGAGAAGAACAGTTTAATAACTAAAATAAAGTAAAATAAAGTGATAATAGAAAGAATACCAACAATAGTAACACTAAGAACAATAGGAAACCACAACAAAAAGATAGGAAAGCACAGATAATGTAAGAAATGCACAGTAAAATTGCTCATCACCCGCTGACTGACACCCAGCCCAACCAAAGCAGCAATCTGTCCCTTCCAGGTAACTCCCCCCACTTTATACACCAGGCATAACGTGCTGTGGTACGGAATACCCCTTTGGCTAGTTTGGGTCAGGTGTCCTGTTTCTGCTTCTTCCTGGCTTCTTGTTACCCCTCCTCACTGGCAGAGCATGAGACTGAAAAGTCCTTGGTAGGGGTTAGCATTATTTAGCAACAAATAAAAACATCAGTGTGTTATCAGCATTGTTTTCAGACTAAAACCAAAATACAGCACTGCACCAGCTACTTAAGAAGGAGAAAAATAGCTGTTACAGCTGAACCCACGACAGGAAGTATATGAAATTTGACTGGCTGAATTTAACCTTCACTAGTAACAAATCTAGTTACATCTTGTAAGGCATGTAAAACAGTTTATCCTGCAAGTATAATCTTGTAATGAACATTGTTTAAAAGAGATTGGTGGTTAGTGAAAGAAAAATGCTCACCTTCAGTTGTGATTCTTATGGCAACCTTTTTTATTTGTGTTAACATTTGTAATTTGTTTTCATTTTAAGGTTTTGACAGCAGGGTGAGGGAGGCGCTCCCCTCCCCTCTACTCACCACTGGTGAGATCACAACTGGAGTGCTTTGTCCAGTTCTGGGCCCTCCAGTACAAGAGAGACATGAATACAGTGGAGAGAGTCTGATTAAGATGATGAAGGAACTGGAGCATTTCTCCTGTGAAGAATGGCTAAGAGAACTGCGATTGTTCAGTCTGAGAAGGCTCAGGGGGATCTTATCAACGTGTATAAAGCCTGAAGGGAGGGTGCAAAGTAGATGGAGCTGGGCTCCTATTAGTGGTGCTCAGTGACAGGACCAGAGGCAATGGGCAGAAACTGAAAGGTGGGAGGTTCCTTCTGAACATCAGGAAACACTTTTGCAGTAAGGATGACTGAGCACTGGTACAAGCTGCCCAGAGCAGCTGTGGAGACTCCAGCCTTGGAGATATTCAGAAGCCAACAGGATATGGTGCTGGACAACTGGCTTTTAGGTGGCTCTGTTTGAGCAGGGGAGCTGAACCTCCAGAGGTCCATTACAACTCCTATTCTGTGATTTTCACTCTTATTTAGGAACTGCCAACATCCTCAGTTGACAGTGTCACTAATTTTCTGTTTTGAAATGGTTCTTAATTTTGTTAAAATTTCATTACCATTCATGTTACAGAATAGCTTTCTTAAATGAGGTTAGTTTATTAAGATCCTCTTTTCCTCTGCTTGCACAACTACAGCGTCTGCTGACAAAACTAAAGAAATTGTATGGAAAAAATGTTGACCAAGACCTTACTGTGCAACAGCCCAGCTGTAAAGTTGCCAAAGTTGTCCCTCTTCATAGTAAGTCCTAATGGAAAACTGTTTGGACTTGAAAACCAACAGGTTTGGTTTGTGTGCTATTTACAAATTTTAGAATAAGCATCACCCATGTCTCCACTCTCTCAGCAGCTACTGCTTCATGCAATTATCAATGACAAGCCACTGTTTTTCTTTGATCCTCAGTAACTTGTGTTAAATACCTACATCATACAAGTTTCTATTAATGAAAAATCTATCTTGAACAAATTTTAAGGTAAAAATAACTGTATTTATTTCTAGTGGTATCATAATTTTACAAGGTCTGATTCATTCATGTTTAGTAACTTTAATATGCCAATTTCTAGGAGGATTTTTCTTGGATTTTGGATGTGACATGGAAGGAAACATAGGAGCTATTTAAACTACAATGTTTTAGTAAAATTTAGTAAAATTCTCAGCTTTGACCACATAATCAACTCAGTGTTCTCTTCTTCAAGTAAAAAGCAAAGAAAAAAGGTGGATTTCAGGACTCAAATTTTTTTTTTTTCCAGCGAAAGAGGTTTAACAATCCCTGAAGATTATTAGGCCCAAGACACTCAGTAGTCACTGAGTGTAGTCACTTTTAGAACAAGACATGAATTCACAAGAATTTGTCAGACATTATTAGGAGAATAAAATGAATTGAGCCTTTTTTTAATTTTATTTTTAATTACCTTTCCTTTTACAAGTTATCTACCACTAGACTTTAATATCCTTTTGTACTTAAATGAACAGTCTGAGATGTTAAAGTTGGAAACAAAGGTGATGCTGTTGGCATAACATGCTAGATATTTTTCATACAGTTGTCCTAACTGTAATACAGTTAGGAAAACACGTTTCAAAACATCAGAAGACAGCAGCAGTATTGCAGGCAGAGGCTGAAATAGGTTATCATGGAGTAGTGCATATTGTTAACTCTGTGATACCTTCCTGGAGAGCAGAAGTTGTAATTGGTTTAAGAATACTTTGACCTGGGTATAACTTAGAACTTTAGGGATGTTTTTTCTAGAAGCCGAAGTTATACACTGGGCCCATTTAAAGGGTAGTGTAATGTCAGAGCTACTAAATCATTTATATATATATATATATATATATCTACATAATAGGATACACTAAAAAAGTTGTATTTGGCCAAATCTTCAGAACTACAACTCTGCTCCAACTGGTACTTTTCAATGAGGAAAAAACTCCATTTAGATGCAGGTTTCTTTTTTCTGTTTCCCCATAATTCTTCACTGGAGACAAAATAGTAGTTAGTGAATCCAGAATATTTTCTCCACTGTTTACTCTGCGTTTCTTACATTAGATTTTAGTAGCAGAGAAGAACCTCTAACAGAGAACCTCAGTGGGAGTGGAGATACTCAATGAAAAGTCAGAGAGATTTTTAGAATTATAGAATGGTTAGAGTTGGAAGGGGCCTGTAAGATTTTTCTACTGTACATTATATTTTGTGTATATATCAATAATAACTTTAAAAAAAACCCACAGTGTGTGTACATATAAACATTTAGTAAACTTTTTTAAGTAGCTTTTCTATTATTGTGGAATAAATTATTGATTGATTTTTGCTGCTTCATATATTTCTTC